GAGAGAGAGAGAGAGAGAGAGCGCGGAGGGCAAAGATGTCGGGAAGGGGGAATATATTTTCAAATGAAAACAGATGGGAAATGCAGAGAGCAGGAGGCGGAAAGACAAGAGTGCACGACAGGCCACAGAGGCATATCTCCCCGCTTGAGTGCCTTCCTTCGGGGGAGGGGGGGGGGGAGGACGACACGGCGAGGGAGCACACACGCTTGCCAAAGCTACTGCCTTCCGCCAGCAGGACAGCTCTCAATACCCGATCGGCAAGGGAACGGGCCTCGGCATCACCGGCGGGGGGGACGAGGATCCAAGTATTCAAAAGAAGAGAGTCGCACTGCGCGCGCGGAGGGGCTCTCGCCCTCCCGGCGCGTTGGGCGCCAGCTGCCGCTCCGTGCCTTGACAAAAGGCAAGCGCGCATGCTTAGATGCTCCGCATGACGCGCTCCAGAGCACTGGCGAACAGGGGCGCGACGCCGCCAGCCGGAGTGCGGATGAGGGCCTTGATCGCGGTCATCGAAGGGTGGAGGGCGATATCTGACAGGACAACCAGGACACCGCCAATCCGGACCGACACGGAGATGACGTCCTGTGCGCGTGGTTCGGGGAAAGGGTTTTTTTGAGAGGGGGGTAGGCGATGGTCAGTGGGGAGGAAGAGACAGAGAGCGAGGGAGGGAGGGAGGGAGGGAATGGAGTCGATGGACAGGTGGCGTGCGAGTGGACAGACAGAAAGGCATGAATAGCAAAGGGGCACACATGAAAAGAAGTGGCATGAAAGGTATGTGCATGCGTACCAGGTTGCCACTCTTCTGGGTGTTGCTGACGAAGAACCGGTGGGCGTTCAGATGCTCGACCACACGGGCCACCGAGCCGAGGTGCGGCAGCTGGCCGACGGTGTGGGCCAGCTCGCCGGCGGCCACCTGGGCCCACATGGAGGCATACTGGCCAGCGGGGATGGCCGCGCCGGGGCCGGCGTCCGCCACCGCGGTCGGGGCGAGGATACGCTCGAAGGGCACGGAGATGGCGGTCGAGGTGAAGGTACGCTGGCCGGAGCGGATGCCGATGGTCAGCTGGTCGGCCGGCTCAACACGCTGGCGGGACTCGGCATCGCCGAAAACCACACGCAGGGTCAGGGCCGCCTGCTGGCCGGGAGCCAGGGCCGCCGGGATGAGAGCCCGGTCCGCAGGGTGGATGGCCATGCCGAAGGAGTTCTTCCCCAGGGAGATGGCCACACCGTCGATCGGCGCACCGGAGCGATTGGTCAGGGTCAGCCCCAGGCGGGCACCATCATCCTGGGGGGTCTGGCGCTCGAAGGCCACCGCCACCTCCAGGCCGAGGCCGAGCTGCGATTGCAGGACCACAGTCTGGCCGGCCGGCGTGGCCGCGGCCATGACCGGCGAGCCGCCCATCATCATGGACCCCATCATCATGTGGGGGGGGCTGCCGCCGCTGGTGACAGCAGCCGGGGCCGGAGCCGGGTTGGAAGACATCAGACCCAGCAGGTCATCAATGCCCCCGGAAGCAGGGGACTTGCTGGCCGTCGGGGCTGGAGTGGAAGAAATGCTCAGGCCAAGCAGATCCTCCAGACCCGAGGCGGTGGTGGCGGGCCCGCCGGTGGAGCTGCCGGCCGCCGGGAGCACCGGGTCATCGAGGCTGAGCAGATCCAACAGCATGGGCGTCTCCTTGGGGGCAGCGGCCGGGGTGCCGGTGGCCGAGGGCCCGGCGCTGACACCGACCGCCGGGGAGACCCCCTCGCCCGGGGTCTGCCCGGCATCACCGAAGGACACCGACTCGTCGCCCTCGCCCTGGCGAAGGAAGACCACCGGAGCCACCTTGTCCGGGTCAACAAGCGACGCGGAAGACACATGGTACACGGAGGCCAGGTTGCCGATGTTGGCAATCAGGTCGTCCAGCAGGGCCGGCCCGGCCTGGTGCAGATCATCATCGATGTCCAGCGAAATGGGCGCACGCTCCGAAAGGACGATGCTCTTGGCGGCCGACGGGTCGCTGGACAGCAGGCGCCAGTAGATGTAGCCGCGGTCGCGAAGGTCCGAGTTCTCCGAAGCCGTGGTGGCCAGCTGCAGAACGCGCTGGACCAGGTCCTTGGCCACGGAGGGGAGCTTCAGGAAGACCTTGACCACGGCCGTCAGCAGCTGCAGCTGGACAACCACCGCATCCTCGGCGAAGGTGTCCAGGAACTGGGTCAGCAGCTCGGTGACATTCTCGATGCGCTCACCGTACTCACCGATAATCCAGATGATCGAGGCTGTTCGATGGGCAAGGGGCGAAGGGCGGGGGAGAGAACAATCAGTTTGACGGGAGGAGAGAAGAGGAGAGAAGAGCGAAGAGAGGAAGAGCAGAGAAGAGAGAGAGAGAGAGAGAGCAGAGAAGAGAGAGAGAGAGAGAGAGCGAGAGAGAGAGAGAGAGAGAGAGAGAGAGAGCAAGAGAGAGAGAGAGAGAGCAAGATGAAGACGCACCACGGGCCATGGGCTCATCCAGCGACTCAAGGTTGTCGCACAGGGTCGGGATGACCAGCTCATAGCGGTTGGGGTACTTGCGGAAGATGTCCTTGATGACGACGATGGCATCCTGAACAACATGGCTGACCCGGGTGCGGATGAGCTCCATCAGGATGGAGACCGCACGCTCGGCGGCCGTGGGGCCCAGGCGCAGGGCCACATGGCCGACGGCCTCCAGAGCATGGCGCGTGAACTCCACATCCGCCTCCAGAGCATACTCCTTGAGCTCCGAGAGGACCTGCGCGACGTTCTTCTCGGTTGCCAGACGAACAATGATGTCCAGCTTCTCGCGCTTGACATAGGGGGTGTCGTTGTACTTGCAGAAGAACACCCGAATGTCCTGGGTCATGGCGCTGGGGAGGCGACGCAGGATCAGGCGAATGCATCGGAGGGCCACATACTGCACCTCGGGCTCGTTGGACAGCAGGGAGGCTGAGGGGAGAAAGACAGGGGGGAAAGACAGGGAGAAAGGTCAGATGGGGCAGCGCGGCAAACCCCCTCCCCCGCCCATCAGGCGGGCAGCAGCAGCACGTGGGGGGAAAGAGGAGGAGGGAAGGAAAGACACCCAGCGGCACGCACCCAGAGGCGGACCCAGCTTCGAGTAGACCGCGCGCAGCTGCTGCTCCATGCCATGCTTGTCCATGATGGCGGCGAAGCGCAGAAGCACACGGACCGCGGTCAGCACGACGGCCGCGTTGGCATGCGCCACGCGGGGGAGAACGCGCTCGCAGATGTTCTCCGCCTCGCGGGGGTTGGTGGTGGTGTACTTGGAGAGGGCGTCCAGGATGACAATCTGGCCCCACTCATTGGCATCATTGAGCACAGTGAGCAGCTTGTTCAGGGTGGCCTGGTTCAGCTGGAAGACCGTGCCGTTGGAGTCCTCATTCATCTCGGTCAGAGCGGCCACGGCATTGGCCACGACCATGGGGTTGGCATCGGTGGTGACGATGTTGCGCAGGGTGCTGATGTAGCCATGGGCCTCGCACAGGGAGGGGTTGATGTCGAACATCTTGGCCACGGCCAGGACGGCGGTCTTGCGGACATAGGGATCCGGATCGGCCAGGGTCTTGTTCAGGGGAATGGACAGGTAGTCGACAATGCGATCCACCCGAATGCAGCCCATAGTGCGAATGGCCAGCGCACGGAGCAGCGGGTTGGACATGTCCTCGCTGTCCTTGACAAAGGTGTTGACGGCCAGGATGGCGATCTCCGGCTGGGACTTGGCATAGTTCATCAGGTACAGGTAGACGAGCTTCTTGAGCTCGATGTCATCGGTCTGCATGTTCTTGATGACATCCGGGAAGAGGGAGCTCACATCCTTGCCGATGGTCATGTTGGCGATGACCTTCTTCACGGCATTCTTGATCTTCAGGCGGTCGTCACCATTGAGGTCGGCCTTGATCTCGTAGATCTCACCTGTTGGCAGGTGCCAAGGAGGGGGGCCCGGGGCCGGGAGAGAGAGAGGGGGGGGAGAGAGAGGGAGAGAGAGGCAGGGAGGGGGAGAGAGAGAGAGAGAGACGCGGAAGGAAGGAAAGAAGGTAAGAGACGGGATGCTGGCACAAAGACGGGCCAGGAGGCGATGAGTCGGCGGGCGAAGGCGTACCCTTCTTGGTGGTGGCGAAGAACTTGCTTCCAGACATGCTTGGTGCCGATGTGCGCACAGGGGGACTCACACGGGATGATGTGGGTCCAGAAGTGGTCTGGGTTTGGGGAGGGGGGGGATGAGGAGGGGAAAGGGAGGCGGGAGAGGGAAGGGGGGAGGGGGGGGCGGGTGAGCGAGGTGGAAATGAGGACAGGATAGGGAGGTGGAAATGAGGACAGGATAGGGAGGTGGTCCAAGAAGAAGAGGCAGGGGGAGGGAGGAGCGAGCGGGGAGACCAGCAAGAAAGATACCGGATAGGGGGGTGTGAAGCACGGGGATGGGGACGGCCATCGGGGCCGGGCCGAGGCCACACCCGCCCAGCATTTGAATGCTTGCATCGGGGCCAGGGACCTTCCGGGGGGGGGGGGGGGGGCCGGGGACAAGACATCGGGCACCGGCCCGGGGTCGGTGGAAGGCCTCCGCCGCCGGCGCCCGTCCTGGGGCTTGGCCTCAGGTTGCCCCTTCGGCCTGCCCGGGGGCCGCCGGGGCCGGGCCTAGTGTGTCTTCTCGCGCCAGCTGCCCCTCTCTCGCACAGGGCGCTGCGAAGCGGCCGATCCTTGGCCCGCCCCCGCCCCCGCCCCCCGACGGCCGCCAGAACAAGCACACCCGTCCTGAGGGCAAAAGTGCCAACGCATGGCCCGGTCCCCGGCCTCCGCCCGTTGGGGGCACGGACCCCCCCGCCCGTCCTTTCCTCTCCAGGGCCCCAGGGATTCTCTCGCGGGGGGCCGAGGGTGGCCGTGGTCCGCCCGGGGTGTTCGCGAAACAGAAAAAAAGTGCGCATCACTTGGCTCCCCTCCCTCGGCTTCTTCCAGACCATGCCCCCACAACCCTCGCAGGTCCGGACGGCCCCGGAGCCCCCCGTCCCGGGCGGCCATATGCCATGGGTTCGAATCATGCGCCAGGGACTTTCTCTTTTTTTTCCATGCCAGTCTCCCCCACGCCCCCCGGTCGAGACACCGACGAACAGCGGCCCTACACACGGCCGGCGCCCTCGCCAGCGGGGCCTTTCTTGCGACCATGCTCCGCGCGGGGGGCGCGCTGGCGAGCCGGCCACCGAAGGAAAGCTGAAATGCGAGGGCGAAAGATCCACCCCTCATGTTGCACACACATCGCCGCGGGGCGGGGGGGAAGAGAGAGAGAGAGAGAGAGAGAGAGAGAGAGAGAGAGAGGCATTTATTGTCCCCCCTCTCCATGATCGGGAGAGGAAGGGCGGGGGGGGGGCCACGCAGGAGACCATCCATCAACGGCGCGCCAGCGCATTACGAGAGGATCAGCCCGGCACTCCGATCCGCCGAGTGGACAAAGTACGCATACACGAGAACCGAGATGGCAATGGCAAGGGAAACGGCCTGGGTGGTGGAGAATGGCCAGGCGGACTGCTGCTGCTGCTGCTTGGTCATGTGGTGCGCGGCGATGGCGGCCGGCGAGATGCGCGGCGCCGGTGGCTCCCGGGCGGCCACAGTAGCAGCAGCAGCAGCGGGGGTCGGCGAAACAGCCGCCCGGGCGTCGTGCTCGACGGCGCGTGCCTCGGCCTCGGCCAGCAGGTCGGCCGACAGGTCGAAGGCACGCGCGGCCTCGGCCACCAGGGTGCGCAGACGCCGGCGCCGGTGAAGCTCTCGTGCGGCAGTCACCGGGCAGCCACTCGCCCGGGGGGCCGGCGTGTCGTCGGAGGGCGAAGGGCCGGCGGTGGTGCCGGCGGCCGGGGAATCGGCCGCGGCTTGGTCGGCGGTGGGGACGCCCTTGCGGCCGCCGGCCGCCACGGCAAAGGGACACCCCCCCGCGGCGCCGGGGGCCATGGTGGCCGGCAGCGCGTCGGCGGTCAGGCCATCCGCGAAGCCGGTCTCCTGGCCGTAGCCGGCCAGGAAGTCCTCCTCCTCGCCCTCGACCCACCAGCCGGCCGGCGGGGCGCCGGGGCCTCCTTCGGCCGCCAGCGCGGCCGCCGGGTCGAAGTCGAAGCAAAGCGGAACCGCGTCGAGGGCCGCGCGGAAGGACTCCTTGAAGGAGTTGACATGGTCCACGGCTGGGAAGGCGAAGAACCGCAGCCCGGGCGACCCGCGCCGGTGCTGGGTCGACTCGGCGCCAAGGTCGCTGTTGGCCGTGGTGGCCGTCTGCAAGGCCAGCAGGCGCCGGGCGCGGGTGGCAATCTGCGCCCCGCCGGACAGGTCCCCCAGGTACCGGACATAAGCGTGCGCCACCAGCCGGGCGGGGTCCTTCTCGGCGATGAGGCGCAGGCGCGCGGCGTAGGCCTTCGCCGCCGGGGTCGGCCCGCTCAGGCGCCAGTCATCCGCCTTGAGGCCGAGCGCATCCAAGTTGGCAGGGGGCGTTTGCTTGAGGGCCGCCTCGGCCAGGCGACCGGCCTCGGCGAAGAGGGCCTCCTCGGCGTCGGCGCTCGGGGCGCCGGCCGTGATGTCCCGGCCGGCAAGCAGGAAGTCCACATCGGCGGCCAGACGCCCGGCGCGGCGGAGCTCTCGCGGAAAGTAGATCCCGCTGACCGCGGGATGGCTGGCATGCCCATCAAGCACCTCCTCCAGGGCCTGGTACACGTAGTACAGGGCCAGGGTGAAGTGGCCGAAGTCCTCCTGGCGGAAGGGCTTCGCGCCCGAGGCCGGGGTCTTGAAGAGGCGTCTGCGTGTGTTTGACAATAAAAAAGGAGAGGGGGGGGGGGCGAAGGGAGCAGAGAAGGTGAGCAAATGTCCAGGCGGGAGGAAGAGGGGGAGTGCGGAGGAACCGAGAAAGTGCCGGGAGGCATGCATGGCATTCTTCACGCACTCAAAGAAGCCGGCGGACTCGGCACGATCGTGCGCCTTGCGGGTACCCTCGCGCATGGCCACAGACAAGGCCAGCTGATCGAGAGGGGTCTTGGGGGGCGGCCGCCGCGCGTAGACGCCAGCGCGCATGGCCGTGGTCATGGGGACACCGGGCTCGGTGGAAGTCATGATATGCGGTGGGGGG